CCAAACGCGCAAATTACCCCAAACCATAGGGACCATTCGTGTAATTTACTCACTAGATAATAAACATGAAATATAGTTCACATCACAATCTAACAACAAGTAATTAGGAATCTAGAATCGGAAATGCAAACAAAAGTTAGTCAGACATCGTTGAATTAAAGTACAAATTCAACAAGTTTAATCCTTAAACAAACTTACAAAATCAAAGAAATAATGTTTACAAAGCACATAATGACTTCCCAAAATCGCCTTTCCAAGTGTAAGTTAGAATTTCTCTTGAAAATGGCCCTAAAACTTCCTTTAATCGGAACTTGAAAAATCCAGAAAACTGCTAGATTACGTTCCACGGCTGCGGAATGGCATGCCTTGAGATTCCACGGCCGTGGAATGGGAAATTGATTGATATGATGAGGACTCCATTCCAGGACCGTGGAATGGACAATGTAATCATTCCACGACCGTTGAATGTTCTAAGTGAATGTTCAAAATCCAAATTTCTCGTTTTCTTCAATCTTGCTCCAATACTTCTGAAACTTTGCAGAGAGCTTCCCCCTTGATCATCCCAAGCATGCCCAAATCCTCAAACACCCTTGAAACATCCAAAAAAAAAAATGGTGAAAAGTAGATAGATCCTCGAAAATGTCCCGAAAATATAAAATGCATGCAATGTTAAGCTAAATGTCATGCAATACTTGAATTAAACATGAAATGAGCATGTAAAAAGGTGCACTTTATGCACCTAACATCCGTCCAGATCTGTAAACTTTGTCGTCTTCATAATGTCTTCAATCTATCGTTCTGGTTTTTTGAGGGTGGGTGCATGACAGATCTGAAAAATCGGACGACCACCATAGCCGTTAACCTAAAAAAACTTAGTCCGGGCAACGCGTAGATCTGGAAACCCTTGTTTTTGTTTTGCTTCGAACAACAGATGACTTAAAGATGATGTTGCTCCGATGTGATGTTGTGCTCCGGCGAGTGTTGTGTGTTGAATCAGGTTTATGTGTTGGGTCTTGTATATCATATTTCTTGTTTTGTATATCAGATCTTGAATAGATGTATGTGTTTGATACTTTGGTCTCATCTATGTTTAATCATTTCCGTTCATCTGTCTTTAATCATTTTTAGGTTCATCATAGTATATGTGTACTATGAATCAGGTTCATGTTTGTGTTCTTGTATATAAGATTTCTGGTTTTTTATTGTGTTCTTGTATGTTAGATTTATGATTTTTGTGAGACAGAGAGTTGTGTATGTGTGTGGTGTTTGTAGCGCTAGTAAACTTTCTGACGGCTGAAGTTTCCGATGATTAAGGTTACAAAGGAAGCATCAATGTCAGTGGCGGTGGTGGTGGCCGGTGTTGGCGGTGGCGGTGATGTTGATCGGTGGTGGTGGTCTTTTGCATTGTAAGAGAGGGAGGGTGGGGTAGGAGTAATATTTTCTTTAATCATAAAAGTATTTAAATAAAAAACTGAAAAAACAAAAAGTAAAGGGAAAATCATGTTATAAAAATGACTAAATTCACAGCAAAATATAAAGTTTGAACTTTGATCCTATCATAGTCACAATTTTAAGCTGATCCCTATTTTTTGTCAAAAATATAAATCTATATCTAAGTTCACCATTTTTTTTTTGGCAAAATACTTTTTAGTTTTTACTCTATCCCTATAAATCAGCTGGGAAATAAGCACTTCTAAAACCTTCTCCACTCTAAACCCCATAGACCGTAAGATGGCCGAAGTTTCGTCCGCTTTGGAATCAGGAACATCAAATACTTCCTCAGATGATATGATCATCAAGAGTATTCAAGAAAGCATCGATGCCCAGGTGGGTTTGGTCCCTAGAGACAAAAAAGATAAACTAGAACTTCATGAAGTCAATTTATTGAGTCCTTTCGATCAAATTGACGATTTACACATAGAACAAGGGCTAGAATTAGTTCAAAACGGCGGCATCCCGGTCACAAAACTCAACCATTCATCACATATTGGAGCGATTGATGAGGGCAAAGAGGAACAAATTGTGGGTTTGAGGGGTAATTCGAATAGGAACGATGTGAAAGAAGGCAAGAAGGAGAAACGGCCTCGAAAAAGGGGAAAAGGTTTGAAACAGAATCCGATTCCTGATTTCGAAAGGCAAAGTGTGTGTGATTGCGACAAGAGGGGTGATAGGGCAAGAGTGGTGTACATTAACGAAGAAATGGAGGCTTTGAGGTATGTAGGGATTGATGAACAAAAGAAGAAGTGGATTGAGGCTTACTGTGGGCTTGGACCTGATGCATCCAAGGAGTACGATGCTTTAATTGCCAATCAGGATGAAAATTATGTGAATTTTGATCCTCGACCTCAATTCGCCAACAAAAAGGGTATATCTCTTGATTTTCTTGCTATATTCTTGATCATGTAGCTTCCAATTTCCACTATATGCTATGGCATTTAGTCTTGGAATGCAATTGTTGATGTTTTTGTGTAACTTCAGAATCTATTTCGACTGAAATGCTAAACACTTTCAGGTAATAATGAAGCTCAAAATATGAACCAAGTGGAGCATGGTGTAAATGGTAGTGATTTAGATGGAGAGGAAGATTACTATGAAGAGGAAGACAGCGATTCAGACCATGTTAGCATCCAAAGACCTGCGTTTATGGTCACTGGAGAACCTGATTTTGATTCAGGTCCTCCACAAGATGGGCTAGAATATCTTAGGCGAGTAAGGTAATGTTCCACTTCCCTCTTTCTTTCTGTCAAAAAGACTTGTTTTCATATCTTCAAGTTAAAGATTCATGTCCTTTATTAAATTATCATTCAAGTTACCATTTTTCTAAGTACTAATGGCCTCTTTTGTGCATAGATGGGAAGCTGAGCATATCCCAAAAGTGAAGGTTGTTAAGGTTGAAAGAAGTGTTTTGATCAAAGAACAAACTGTTTATATGCCCAACATCCCTGATATTGCAGCATGTCCTGAGCATTTAATGCCATCAAAAGAATGGGAAGATGCTTTCCTTGCTGACTTTTCAAAGCTAAGGCTTGTAAGTTTGTTCTCCCCTTTCCATTTGATTGTGTAGAAAATGCAGCTATATTTTGATCTGAGATGGGATTTTGATTTATAAATTGTTTGGCTTTTTGTATAATTTCAGGCATTATCTCAGGATGAAACTTCTGCATCTGTATTTTCTGAAGAAATGGAATCAATCCCTGTTTCCCAAAGTGTTCTTGACAGTGTAATTCAAGAAAATCTTGATATCTGTCATACAGATGATGTCATTCAAGAAAATCTTGATTCCTGCCAAACGGAGGACAAAACCGTCATTTGTGACTGGCCTAGGTTGCAGAACATTGTAGAGATGGAACCCGTGGCTCGTGTGATAATGTTAAGGAAACGGATAACATCAATGGAGTCAATGAGCTCATTATGTAGAAATGATTGTGCATGGTTGTTTTCTCTTTGTGCAGCTATTGATACTCCTTTAGATGCTGACACAAGTGCTTCACTTCGTTGCTTGTTAAGAAAATGTGCAGCTTTGAGAGCTGAAAAATTGGATCTTGATGATGAAGTTATTATGCTTAATATCTTGGCAACTATTTCGGGAAAGTATTTTGGGCAATTAGAAAGTAATTAGGTTGAAAGACATGATGGTGACACAGTTTTGAGTTTTGATCTGAGATGGGATTTTGAGAAAAGATGGTTTTTTTGTGAATTGAATTTGTTTCAAGAGTGATGCTCTCATCTGTAATTTGATTATGAAGATAACACAATGGAGTTGTGATATGAGATGGGATTTTGAGAAATATGATCTTTTGAAACTTGAATTTGTTTCAAGATTGATGCTTTTATCAGTAATTTGATTATGAAGCTCAACAATAGAGTTGGGAACTGAGATGGGATTTTGAAAAAGATGTCTTTTTTTCTTTTTTCAATTGGCACTTGTTACACGATTGATCTTTTATTGTTCTCCTTATAATCTATTTTTGTGATTAACTGGTTGATCTAGTTATGATTTACCAACTTATATTCAGGTTGATTTTGATCAGAATTATTTTATTTCAATTTTGTTTTGTTAAAAGATATTTTGGTTATTTATTTATTTCATTTAGATTATGATCAAACCAAAGATTTATGGTGGGATGAGGAAGTAATTTAATTACAAAAATAAGCTCATCTATCACAAATAATTACTTTTTAAATAAATATCATGTAAAATAGGCTTGGCGAAATAGTATTTGAGTGGTCTCTTACTACAAAATAGTTTTGAGTAGTTTCTACTAACAAATACTTTTCTTTTTTATATGACATCATTATTATGCAAAAAATGGATTGTGTAAAAGAAAAGGTGATTTTGTGAAATTCATTATATAAAACTGGTAATAATTTTGTTGTTATATTTGTTTAAAGAAACAATGACAAAAATAGTCATTTTTCTTTGACTTTTTTTACAAAAATAGGCCAAAATTTTTAAGAAATACATAATGGGGATGGACAGTTGTACCAAAAAAAAAAAAAAAAAAAAAAGCAAGAAGGCTCTAAAAAGTTTTTTGATTTTTTGAGCCCCCTATGAAACCTTATACAAGGAGAATTTTCTGTTATTTATTTATTTATTCTGATTTTACCCTTTACAAGGTGCTTGGATGTGTGCTTTCATTATTACAAATTTGAAAAACAAAAATAATACAAATCAATCGTTTAAAACTGGATAATCTAAAATTTTAACTACTCTTAAAGCTTAGTCATATTACTCCTAAATAACAAATACTTAAAAATCACATGTATCCAAGACAAATGACAAATAAGAATGTTACAATTAACATGAAACACGTTCATACAAACTTATTACAAACTTTATAATACAAAAGCAAACACAAAAACCAATTTATATAAGTCTTGTCTGTAATATTCATTTAAAAAAGAACAAAATTCACAAAAATAAATAATAACATTTAGGAAACAAAACGATTCTGAATCTATAAACCGAAGAATCAATCCATCAATCCCCAGCTTCACATTCACACTACTAAGCCCCGACCTAAACATTTCACACCAACATTTCATTCAAAGGGCACCATTTTTTTTATTATTATTATTTCAAGAATCCAAAGCTTAACTAGAAGCCGCCTTTTTTGGAGCTGATGGGTTGAACACTTTCTGATCAGCACAAGTGAGCACATCGTGGGCCCCAGCTTCCTCTCTCCCAATACCCATTAAATCAAGGTAATACAAGTAATGTGTAACAATGGTGTTCATGTCATCAATGTCACCTTTTCCACATACACGTTCACCATAAAGGATGTTCATGGTGAGCCCAAATCCAGGTGTCCTGTGGGACAAAGTGTCGTTCTTGGTGGGCTTCCAGTTGCCAACCATGGCATCATGGGCTGATGGTTGACCCTTCTTTAATGGAGTTATCCATTGAAACATTGCAGCTTGAAAGGCTAAAGTGGCATTTTGTTCAATGTATTCAGGGTGGTTCAGAAGGTCCACATGTAGGCAGTCGCCAATGTATCCGTAGTTGTAGTTCCTGACAAAGGGTAAAATGGTCATTTACTGTTGATTAAGATCGTTCATTAGTCCAAAAAGGAAACGGTCTTTGTTCATAGAGTACTTGCTCCAAACAGACATCGTTTATACATTCAGCACTCAATGGAGAAAAAAAAACACCCTTAAATTGCTTAATGGGGACAGGACTTGTTGAGAAGGGTAAAATGGTCATTTACTTTTGATTCAGACGGTTCATTAGTCCAAAAAAGAAAGTCTTTGTTTATCCATTCAGCACTCAATGGAGAAAAAAAAGCCTTAAGTGGCTTAATGAGGTCATGACTTGTTGAGAAGGGTAAAATGGTCATTTCATCTAATTCAGAAAGAAGGAAGATTAAGGTACCAATAGATGGGCAAAGCGCCACGTCCATAATAATCAGCTCCAGGGGCACAAGGGTAAGTGTATTTGTAGCTCTCATCACAGTAATCTTGATTAGGGCTCATTTCTCTATTGTAGCATAATCCCCATGCTGTGGGCCCACCTGTTGCCACTCCATATCCACCTATAAACCATTTTTCAAGTAATCACATTCACATCTCATGTTTCAAACAAGATTCTTTATCAATAAAGATTCAAGAAAGAATGGTCAAAGTATAAACTTACATGAAGTTTGACTTCCAATATGAGCAAGAAAAGCAGCAATCTCCTTCATTTGAGTTGTCTTATTACCAGTTGTACCAAACCCAAGAGGCTGATAAATTGTTGAGGCGATAATAAAAGACTTGAAATCCCAAAAACCTGCAGCTTGTGCCACAGGGCTATTCCTCTTTGAGAAAACATTCTCAAATTGATAATAATCAAAATATTGAGATATTGTCAGATTACAACAATATTCAGACCACCCTTTACATTCCCAACCCTGATCACATACTTTCTTTCCCCTTTATCTTCTTCACTGTTACAGGTGAAGTATCAGCATCCACAATTGATGCTATCACAAACAGTAAACATAACACCAAAAGACAAATATTCTTTGTCCCCATTCTTCTTTTCTGCAAGAAAGATAGCAAAAACAGAAAGCCCATTAAGAAATTGAGCTCCTTTCATTCAAAAGATTTGAAAGGGGATAAAATTAAGAGATACCCAGATGCTTTTTTGTTTACCTGATGATAAATTAAGATACTTTTCTTGTTAAATGAGTGTTTTTTGTAGAAAAGAATAAGAGAGATTAATGTGATGTGGGTGGAATTTTTTTTGAGAAAAAAATAGGTTCGTATTTCTTCTTTATTGGGATTTTAGTGAAAATGAATAGAAAAAACATGGATATAAGATGAATCATAATCTCAAATGAGCTGAAGAGCAATAAAACAATATACCCAGTAATAAGTCAAGATACGTTTCTTGTTTATTTGGGCATTTGGTGATATTTTCTTGGAAAAAGCATGAATCATAAGACCTAAAAACTTATACCGAATAACGGATTTTGTTTCCTTCTATGGTTTAAATGGAGATTTTGAGAAACACAGGATTCAAGATAAATCTCAATCTGAAATGAGCAAAAGATAGGTAAACTAATTAACCCGATAATAGATCAGTTCCTTTTCTATTTGGGCACTTTGTGAAAATATCTCGAGGAAACATGAATCAGAAAGATCTAGATGCTATAAAGAACAGATGACAACCAAAACAATGTACACAGTAACGAAACATTTCTTCTTTTAAGATTGTAATGAAGATTATGATAAAAACACGGGATTTAAAATGGATCACAATCTCAACAAATTATAAATCAACTTACTTTCCATGATTATTTGGGCATTTGGCAACAACAAAATACCTAATGATAAATCGAGTTTCTTTACTTGATTATCCGGTGAAAATTTCTTGAAAACATGAAATTGAAAGACCCATATGCAAAATTTAACAATTTACAACTAAAACAATATACCCATTAACGAATTTTGTTTCCTTTCAGGGTTCTAAAAATACACACTGAAAACAAAAGAGATCTGTGCGATTTCATGATAGTAGAATGTGCAACTTACTGAGAGTGGAGACTTCTCCCCACAGGATCTGAATTGTTTAATTGATTGAAATGCAATTGCTTTTTGTATGCAAAAAATCTTGCTTGTAGTTTTCCTTTGCCTCGAATTCAATGAAGGTGGAATGTTGTGTGTGTTAGATCAAGTATTTCTGTCAATGGAAGAATGGGTAGGGTGAGGAAATGAACGGTGGAGATTGACAGATGGGGTTCGGTTAGGGTGTATGAATCATGAAAGATGCTCGGTGTTTAATGTGGAACAGGCTGGATTTGGAATCAAGTAAACGTATGTGAAGCTTTGAAGACGACTCACCAACTGGAAATGAACTCGCCACCGACAACTCACCGCTCCACTTCTGTTATTTGACTCGGTGACTCGGTGAGTCTAGAGGACTTGGATATGCACTCGACTCGACTGTCGGTTTGTTTTTTCTTTTTTTAGTATCAGTGACAAACATAAATGGCCCATGTGGTTCCGTGATCATACAACTTGAGTTCAACTCTTTTTTATACTACTTGTTTTTCACCTTATTTTTTTTTAAGGGGAGTGATACTTCCACGGTTATTTTTTTATTCATCCACGATTTTTAAAGTAAATTGTCAATTTTGCCCTTCATTTGTATTTATGGTGTAATTAATTATTCAAAGACTATTATTCTCTCCCAATCTCTCAAACACTGCTTTCCTGTTTCTCGTCTCATCCAAATTGTAAATCTTCTGAGAATATCTTCTCTCCGTAATCAGACATGGGGTTTAAGAAGAATATCCTCATTGTTTCACGAGGTAGCAACAATCGTCGGTCACAATTTGTTGCTTGTGCTTGCAGTCTGATGAGCCATCGTCGGCTTATTTTAGTGCCGGCTATTACACCTCATGGGTATTTCGTCATCCCTATTCCAAGTCTTTGGAATTGTGTGTAAAATTTCATGATTTTTATGTAAAACTGGATGTAGAGTAGTAGATCTAGAGTTTTAAATGATGAATTTTGTGGAGGTTTGAAGTTTGCTATTTGGAAATTAGGGTCAGTTCGTAATTTACATTCTAATTTACAGGAATAAGGTATGAACTTGATGTATGATGCTTTGGTTGAATTTATGAAGATTAAGTTTTGATTTTGGTAGATTTTGAGATCAAATCGGAAATTAGAAGTGAGAGGCGTAAGCGAGAGAAGGAGTATAGATCTCATGCTTGCCATCATCGTTCCGGATGTCGGTAACAACTGGTTCACCCTCATCGTTTACGTTTCTTTTTTTTTTATATACATACGATGATACTCTATCGGAGATTGTGGTTGAAGGGAGCAACCAACTAGTTGAGAAGATGAAGGAGTTGCAAGCTTAAGATTTCATTTGGTATAATTGTTTGCTAAAAATCAATGTTGTTTTTGAATAATTAATTACGTTCTAAAAATAAATAAAGGGTATAATTGTCAAATGTTTTAAAAGTCAATGGATGTATAAAAAAAGAGTCGTGTAAATATCAGCGCCCTTTTTTTAAGGATCTCTCTTACACACCATTAGAAATCCATTGTTAAGTTTTTATAAAAAAAAAATACAACTTTATCATGTTCTGTCTTTTTGTTAATACTTAATTTTGTTTTTTTTAATTATTTTATATTATTATTTTCTAAAAACCACCACCTCTTCTCTCGCTCTCCATCTCCCCGTCAAGACATTTTTTAATGTCCAAGAAATGATCCACATCCACCCATTATCAATTGCAATACCGATGAGATTTAGAATCGGATCGGTTCGGAATCGGAATCGGTTTTTCTATATTATAAGAACCAGGAACCGGACCGTCGGTTCTAGCGTCGGTTTCGATTTCGGTCCTGGTTTTTCGGTTATTTTTTAAACTATAACTGGTTGAAATGTTGTAGATGATATGTTACCTTTCAGAGTCTGTAAATGATTCAATATTTAACCAAATTATGACTTTTTACATTCCAAATTGAAGTACAAACACTAGATTACATGATAAAAAAAGAATCAAGTAATTTCGTCTTCATATGAGTGAGTTATACGTATTTTAAAAGCAGGATAGATTCCAAAAATAAAAACAAAATGCTAAAACAGAAAATACGCAACATTGATATTGTCTTCTGGGATCTATAGTTGATTCAATATCTAACCAAAATATGTGTTTGTACAGTCTAAAATGAAGTACAAACACCAAATTACATGTTGAAAAAAAAAATTAAGTAATTCCGGCGTCATATGAATGAGTTATGCACATTTAAAAAAAAGAGACAGATTCATAAAAACAAAAAAAAATAATGTAATAGAAAAAACGTAGCATCGATATTCTTTCTTTCGGGGCATGTGTCTAATTTAGTATCTAACCAAAATATATGTTTGTACAATTAAAAATGAATTACAAACTCCAAATTACATGTTGGAAAAAAATCAAGTAATTCCGACTTCATATCAGTGAGTTATACACATTTTAAAAAACGAGAAAAATGTCAAATCGGTTCCGGTTTTTAGAACCGGGACCGGTTTTCATAAAAATGGAGAACCGGTAATGGACCTTGTTACCAATTTCGGTCCGGTTCCGATTCTGACGGTTCTAATGCTCATCCTTAACCTGTATACTCAACTCCTCTATGTCCGGTTTTAGGGGTTGATGGAGTGATAATTCAAGGATCTCCATTTTTTGGTCTAAGATAAAGTGAAGGCAAAAAAAAAGAGTTTATATGAATCTACCATTTGCTTAAATAATTGGAAAAATGTAATTTAGCATAATAAACTTATGTGTATGGCTCGATTTGGTCATTAAAATGTATATATTTCTTTCTTGTCTATTAAGTCACTTTCGTTAGTTTTTAACAGATCACCCATTAATCAATTATTCTAAATTACACAAATGATACCTATGGTTTCAAAAACGATTCGTGTTTGGTCAAGTGCCTCGTCTCGATGATGAGTTTCGTGGTTTCAATTTGCACTCGATTGTCGGTTTGTTTTTTGACAAAACTGCAAAAATGATCATTGTGGTTTGTAATTTAATCGAGTCCAAATCTTTCGAAAGTTGTGAAAAATATCATTTTTAACATGTTTCTTTATGAATTTGGTTCATATCAAAATTGAAAAGTCTATTTTACCCTTAAGATTTAACTATATATTTTCTTTAATATTAATAAACATTTGGGAAAATGTCACTGTAGCACAATAAACTTCTACTATTTTCCCGATTTGGTCACTAAAGGCTTTTTTTTTGCACAATAGATCCTTAAAGCGTCATTTTAACTGTTAAATAGGAGAATCTTGTAAATTACTTATGGTTTCATTGGTTACATTTGGTCTAGATGGTTTTTCTTATTTTTTCTAAATTAAAAAATCAACATGTAGTCCAGGTGGCTTTTTTCAAATTTTCAAAATAAAAAAAATCAAATCCTTAATATGCGTTTTCCCCTAAATCAAAGATACCAGATCTCCCTAAATCGCACTCATTAAAGAAAGAACAGAGGAAGATGAAGAACTCCTCCTTACAACTGTGAACTCCATCCCTACCCCAAGTCCTTCCCAATCGATTCCAGGGTCGAATCTCCAATAAATTGGCTCTCCTATACATCTTATTCCTCATCTTTCACCTTCTCATTTGGCTTCGCTCTCACCTTCGGCTTCTCCGGCTTTTCTCAGGAGCTTTTCATCGAAGATACTAGATCGGGAACCGTAGAAGCTTCCTCACCGTCTTCCTTCTTTTCTTCTATCTTGGTTTGTGTCTTCGGAAAACCAGTGCATCATCCTTAGCAGCAGATGACAACCTTCACTTTGCCCTTGGTATTTTCAGACGGTGAGGGTGTTCTTCTCATGTGGACCTCCAAGATTGATTTTTTTGTTGTTCTTCTTCATGTAGACCGCTAATTTCATGTTGTTCTTCTTCAGCGTTTTTTTATTCTGATTTGGATGTTCGATTTAGGTTCTTTGATTTTGCTTTTGGTGTTTGATTTTAAGAGTAAAAGTGTATAAGTATTCAAGGAAGAATGTGCATCTGCTGTAACATCCTGATGTTCTCCATTTTCTGTTTTTTTCTATATTAAAATCATCTGATGTTCTTGTTTTTCTGGATATTTTTTGGGATTTGGTGTTCATTTTTTTGTGTTCGTTAGAGGAAGATGAATGGTGGTGGTGTTAGGAGGTGGAGATAAGGTGGGCGGCGGACGATTATGGTAGTGGTGGTGGTGGGAGGTAGGAAGTGAAAGGTATGTGTAACATCCCGACTCCCAGGTATTATATTTCTTATAATATTTTTGATTTTATTGACCAACTCGGCGAGTTGGAGGCCCCAATTCGTCGAGTAGAGACGGATTTGGCCACGTGGGTTTTACGACCAACTCGACGAGTCGGATGGACCAACTCGACAAGTTGGCGCTGTGAGAGGAAACCCTAATTCTCCGGGGTTGTGTCCTATTTAAAGGACCTTTAGCCCTCATTTCCGCCTCACCAGCCTCCTTACTCCCCTGTGTGAAACCCTAATCGTCCATATTGATCTAAGAGAGAAAGAGAGCTAATCTTTGGGTATTTTTGTGAACTATTGGAAGAGAAGAGAAGAGTATCAAACAAGGAACGAGGAAGGACTGTTGGATCTAGTGTTCATCCATTTTTAGCTTATGTTGGAAGGGAAAAGTCACCACCTTGCTTATCATATTGATTAGATCTTGTTGCTAGGAAGCTTTTAGGGCTTTTTCCATATTTCCTTGAGATTTTGAGTGACTTGAGCTTGCTAAGCGATTGAGACTTCAGATTTGGATCTTGTGAGGTCCCTTAAGCCCAAAGGTCCAAGCTTTATCAAGCTAGAGGAGAGTTTTATTGCTTAGGACCCTAAATGGAACTTGTTTTGGCATTTCAAGCCCTAAGTGTCGTGCATGGATGTAAAACTTGCAGCTTTACGTGGTATCTCAGCCTTGGGAGGCTAGATCTAGAGTTTGGGGTTGTAACTCTACCTTAAAACGTCTGAATGAGAACATAGAATGAAGGGACTCGCCGAGTCGGTGAGCAGACTCGACGAGTCGGCTAGGGTTTTCCCCGAAGAGTCTGGACATGAGTAACTCGACGAGTTGATGAGACAACTCGGCGAGTTAAGTTGGATTTTCACGACATTACTGAAGGAACGAGGGGACTCGGCGAGTCACATAGATGCACTCGACGAGTCGGGTCAACATGAACTGTTGACTCGAGTGTTGACTTCTGTTGACTTTAGGGTTTGGTCAAGTCAGGGATTATGGGGACCATGGAGGGGTAAAATGGTCTTTTACCCATCCAAGAGTTAGAGAGAGAGAGAGAGAGAGAGAAAATAGCTTGGTTGATTTAGAGTTGTGATTAAGTGTTAATTAGAGGTGTTTATGACATGTAGACAGGGATTAGACTATTCGAGGGGTACACGACTTCTTTGCTTACTTACGAGGTGAGTCTTCTCACTATACATACCTGAGTGGTACTGCTGAGTGACCGGAGGGTCTTATTTAAGTTATGTGATATTATGCATTTTGTCTTTGTGATATATGCTATATTATTCTGTGCATTTTGAGATCGGACCGGAGGGTCCAACCCGAGTTGTGAGACCGGAGGCTCCTCACTGAGACACAGGACTGGAGGGTCCAACCCAAGCTGTGAGACCGGAGGGTCCTCACTGAGACATAGGACCGGAGGGTCCACACCGAGCCGTGAGACCGGAGGGTCCATGCCGAGCTATAGCCATGAGAGGCTTATTATTTGTGTGTGTGGTATTTTAGGGAACTCACTAAGCTTCGTGCTTACCTTGTTGTATGTTATGTGTTTTAGGTACTTCTCAGGATCACGGGAAGGCGACGACTTGATTGTACACATCTGTTCGGACTATGTTTTGAGGATTCTGGGATACTATTATTTATTTTGTGGATTTGTGTTTGACATTTGAGACAATTGTGGTTTTTGAGAAATATGACATGAGTTTTTACGTGTTTTGAAAATGAAAATTTTGTTTGAAAATTTACGGTGTTACAAGTTGGTATCATAGCCTTGGTTTGAGGGATTCGGATGTACTCTCAGGTATGTTCGGACTCAAACTGAGGGTTTGATAAATTTTTTCTAAAAAGAAATGATTTTCTAAAATGAGTAAGAGTTTCAAAGAGAAAACGAGATGGAACAGTGTGTACAATCAGTCAGAGCCCGAATGGTGATTTCCCAAAATACCATTATTTGTTTATATTATGAGATATTTATGAGATATTAGAGCTGCATGCTAGAGAATAGG